GTGGCCCCGTGGGGTGCCCCTGTCCCCCGGGGAGGCTGTGTCGGGGCCGAGCCCCGCGCGTGCCGCGGGACGCCGGGGGAGCTATTCTCAGCGCCGCGGGGCGGGAGCTTGGCACGGGCATGGGGACGTTGCTAAATCGGGGAGAGGAGCGGGGGCTCCGGTTCACGTGCACCGAGCAGGGAGGGGGGGGCAGGAGGGGGACGACTCCTGCGATCCCTCCCCGTGGGCCCCCCCTGCTCGGAAGGGGGCTGTTGGCAACCACCTTGCCACGAGGCGCCCCGGGGTCGGCATCGCCGGGGGGGCGCGGGGCACCCAGCCTGGCGTGGGGCACCCAGCCCGGGAAGGGGACGGTCCCCGCGGTGTCCCCACCACCGGGAGCTGGAAAAGGGGGCGCTGAGCACCCAAACCGTGCCCGGCGATGCCACCACCGTGCCACCACCACCGTGCCGGGGACCCACGGAGCCACGGTGCGCCCCACCGGGCACCCTGCCCGTGCCCGCCTTCGCCCTCCCCGCAACGCCCGTCGCTCCTCCTGCTCCTCGGGGAGAGGATCCCGGTGCCCGGCTCCGCCTGTCGGGCGTTCGACAACACAGCCCCGAGCCCCACGGCTGCACGGCTCCGTGGCTTGGGGGGGGCACCGGCGAGGGGGGGGTCCCGGAGCTGCCATCCCGTCCGTCCACCCGCCCGCAGCTGCTCCAGGCTTTGCCGCCAGCCGCAGCTCGCTTGCCCCGGGAAAGTGCGTGGCGAGGCGGGGAGGGGGCCGCTTCCTGGTGCCGCGGCCCCCCCCAGGAAGGGACGGGGACGGGGAGGTGCACCCGCCGCCACGCAGCACCCCACGCCTGCAAGGGTGGGCGGGGGGTCCGCGGGGGGGGACACCCGACCCCCTCCCCGGGGTTCCAAGGGGTGAGCGGGGAGGGGGGGGGTTTGGCACAAATCCGGCCCCGCACCGGGGCTGTGGGGGCAGCCAGCACCCCGACACCGCACCGGGCACCCCAGGGCTGTGCCCCCCAGCCCCCCCACATCCACACCCCCCGCTGCGTGCAGGGCGGCAGCGCCGTGGCTCTGCAAAGGTCAGCGCAGCAGTGAGGGGGGGGCGAGGGAGCGTCAGGCTGCGCCCCCACCCCAGCAGCACCGCGCACCCGCCCAGGGACCCCCGGCACCAGCAGTGTGGGGGGGGGGGCACCCCGATGGGAGCAGCAGGGGGGCACGGGCAGCTGCACACCGACAGCAGGGGGGCGCCGAACCCTTCCAGCGCGCCCCCACCCTGCGCCAAGACCCCCGGGGCGGGGGGGGGGAGGGATCGTGGCGTCGAGCGAGTGAGCGAGCGGGAGAAGCCTTCCCCAAACTGGTTCCACCGGGGCCTGCCGTGCCGCACGGCTGCGCCGCCACCGGCCCCCGCCCCGCGCCGAGCCGCGGGGGTCCCCGGCACGCAGGGAGGCCACGGGGCGGGCGGCGCCAGGGCTGGCACCGGCGGAGGTCAAGCGGGGTGAGGCTGAGCCCGGGTCGTGTCCCCCCTGCCCCTCCCCGGCCCTGCTGCCGGTCACGGCAGCGGGGCGTGCACGCGTGTGCAAGCCCGTGGGGCTGCAGGAACGTGCCCCCCCCCATGCATTTGCACACCCACCCCCCATTTGCACACCCACCCCCCCCGGCACGCTGCAGTCCTGCAGGGCCGTGCGTGTGCATACAAGGGGGGGGGGGGGCAGGCTGCAGACCCCCCCGGGGCACGCGTGGGTGTGCGGAGGGCGGGGGGGTCCCGGTGCGGGAGGAGGACGCGGGGAGGGAGACGGAGTAAGGGGGGGGGGGGGGGTCCCGGTGCCGCCCCCGTTGCGCTGCGGGCGGAGCCGCCGCGCTCGGGAGCCACCGGGCGGCCGCACCGGGATACTGCGGGCGGCGGGGCGGGACCCCCGGCCCGGGACCCCCCCTCACCTCCTAACCGACCCCCCCTCCCCTCTCCGGTTGCCCCCCCCCGGTCCCTGAGCCGCCGCCGCCGCCGTCGCCGGCGCATGCGCCCCCCCCGCCCGGTTTAAAGGTAACCGGGGGCCGCCACCGGTTTGGCCCCCCCCCCGCCGGTACCGGCCCGGCCCTAGGGGGGCGCTTTTGGAGGGTGGGGGGTGTCCCCTCCCCCCACACCCCCCCCTCTCTTTGAGGGGGGGGTCCCGGTGCTGTGAGGAGAGGCCCACGGGGGTCTCCGGTGTCGTTAGGGGGGGCTCGGGGGTTCCCCGGTGTCGTGAGGAGGGGCCCGGGGGGGTCCCCGGTACCGTGGGGGGGACCCGAGGGGGGCTCGGTAGCCGTGAGGAGGGACCGTGGGGGGTCCCCGGTACTGTAAGGGGGGGCCCGGAGGGGTCCCGGTACCGTGGGGAGGGGCATTGGGAGCCCCCGGTACCGTGGGGGGGACCCGGGGGGGGGCTCGGTAACCGTGAGGAGGGGCCCGAGGGGTCCCCGGTACCGTGAGGGGGACCCGGGGGCTGCTTAGAGGCTGGGGGGGGGGCAACCGGGGAGGCCTCTTGGAGGGAAACGGGAAACGGAAAGGGGAGGGGGGGGCAACCGGGAGGGGGCCCCGAGCGGGTCCGGGAGGTGGCCCCGGGGCTTGGAGGGGGCGGCTCGGTAACGGGGGGGTGTCCGTGAGGGGGTCTCGGTGACGGGGGGGGAGTCAGTAGCTGAGGGGGGTTCCTGAGGGGATTTCGGTAACGGGGGGGAGCTCCGTGAAGAGGTTTCGGTAACGGAGAGGGCTCAGAAAACGGGGGAGGGGGCTTCGTGGGGCCGTCTCGGTAACGGGGGGGGGGCTTCCGTGAGGGGGAGCCCTGTAACGGGGCCTTCCGTGAAGGGGTCTCGGTAACGGGGGGGGCTCCCTGAAGGGGTCCCGGTAACGGGTGGGGCCTCTGTGAAGGGGTCCCGGTAACGGAAGGGGCTCAGTAAGCGGGGGAAGGGGCTTCGTGAGGGGGTCCCGGTAACGGGGCCTTCTGTGAAGGGTTCTCGGTAACGGGGGGGGCTTCCGTGAGGGGGAGCCCTGTAACGGGGGCTTCCGTGAAGGGGTCCCGGTAACGGAGGGGGCTCAGTAACCGGGGGAGGGGGCTTCGCGGGGGGGGTCTCAGTAACGGAGGGGGCTTCGTGGGGGGGGTCCCGGTAACGGGGGGGGGGGGGTGCTTCCGTGAAAGGGTCCCGGTAACGAAGAGTGCTCCGTGAGGGGGCTCCGGGCCGTGCCGTGCCGGGGATGCCGCTGGCTGCGGGCCCCCTTTTCCCCCCGGGCCCTCCGGTAGGCCGCGCGGTGCCGTTGTGCCGGCGGCCCCCTCGCCATGGCGGCGGGCGGTAGCGGCGGCGGGCGGTGAGCGATGAGATCCACCGCCTTCAGGCCGACCGGGGCCGAGCGACCGGGCCCGGTGGGGGGGGTGGGGGGGGAGCAGCAGCAGCAGCAGCAACAACCCCGGCAGGAGCAGCAGGAGGAGGAAGAGGAGGAGGAGGAGGAAGAAGAAGAAGGGGAGGAGGAGGAGGGCCCCGCACCGCCCCGCAGGCCCAAGGAGCCGCCGCCGCTGGGGGCACACAAGGGCCGAGGCGGCGGGGGGCCGGCGGGGGCTCCCGGGCCACCGGGCGAGAGCTGGGCCGGGCTGGTGCCGGTGGCCACCGGTGGTGGGAAGCGGGAGGCGGCGGGGGATGCCAGCGGCCGGCCTCGGTACCAAGCGGGGCTGCCCGGGCACGGAGCGGCTCCGGGGGAGAAGGAGAAGGAGAGCGGAGGAGGAGGAGGAGGAGGAACGGGGCTTGAGGAACCGGGGCCGGGCCCTCAGCAGCCACCGCCACCACCGCCACCAGCAGCACCGCAGCCGCCTCCCGGTGAGGCCAAGTGGAGGAGCGGAGCTCGGAGGGGAGCCATGGGGGCCGGCGGGGGTTCGCCGGGGCAAGCGGCCTGCCTGCGGCAGATCCTGCTGCTGCAGCTGGACCTCATCGAGCAGCAGCAGCAGCAGCTGCAGGCCAAGGAGAAGGAGATCGAGGAGCTCAAGGCCGAGAGGGACACGGTGAGTTTTTTTTTTGGGGGGGGGGGCAGGGGGGGGAGTTGGGGATTTGGGGAGGGGTGGGGGGGTGGGGGGTACATGGGGTGAATGTGGAAGTCAGGGGGGTGAGCACCCTCCTGGCACACAAGGGGTTAACAGCCCCCCGGCACCTAAGGGGTGAGCACCCCCCCAGCACCCAAAGGGTTAACAGCCCCCCCCCCCGGCACCTAAGGGGTGAGCACGCCCCCCAGCACCCAGGGGGTGAGCACCCCCCCGGCACCTAAAGGGTTAACAGTCCCCCCCCCAGCACCTAAGGGGTTAATAGCCCCCCCTGCCCGCAACACCCGGGGGGGGGGGTGAACACCACCCGGCACACAAGGGGTTAACAGCCCCCCCCAAAAAACAGGGGGGTGAACATCCCCCCGCTGGCACCCAAAGGGTTAACAGCCCCCCCAACACCCGGGGGGGTGTGCAACCCCCAGCACCTAAGGGGTTAACTCCCCCCCCCCCCAAACAGGTAAGTGTTGTCCCCCCCCTTGGGTTAAAGCCACCCCCCCCCATTTGGCACCCAAGGGGTTAAATGTCCCCCCCCCCATTTGGCACCCAAGGGGTTAACCCCCCCGGTTAATACCCCCTCTCTGGCACCCAAGGGGTTAATACCCCAACATTAATGCCCCCCCAAGCACCTAATGCCCCCCCCCCCTTGGGTTAATACCCCATGGGGGGGCATTTGCACCCCCCCCCCATAGGGTAATTCACCCCTCCCCCCCCTCCCAGATATTAATTGCCCCCCCCATGGGGTAATTGCCCCCCTCGGCCACCCAGGGGTTAATTGCCCCCCTGTGTATTTTTTTGCCCCCCCCCATGGGGTAAACATGGGGTAAGTGCCCCCCCACCTGCCCCCCCCGGCCACCCAGGGGTTAATTGCCCCCCTTTGTATTTTTTTGCCCCCCCCCATGGGCTAATTGCCCCCCCCATGGGGTAAACATGGGGTAATTCCCCCCCCCACCTGCCCCCCCCCGGCACCCAAGGGGTTAACCCCCGGGACCCCCCCCCCCCCCCCCCCCCCCCAGCCCCAAACAAAGCCCTTGGGGGGGGGGGGCACTGAGGAGGGGGGGGCCGTCCGGGGGGGGGGGGGGGCGGGGCCCCGGGGTTACCGGCGGGGGCACAAAGGGCGGGGGCGGGGCGGGGGGGGGGTTAACGGGCCGCCGCCCGTCGCTATGGCAACGGGGGGGGGGCCTTAAAGAGCCCGCGGCACCTCCGGGCCCCCGGGGGTTAACTTAAAGGGGCCGCGGCACCTCCGGGCTCGATTTTATTTTATTTTTTTTTGGGGGGGGGGGGCAGTGAGGCGGAGCTCTGCAGCTGCTGCATGCCCCCCCCTCCCCCCCCCCCATACATGCTGCATGGGTGCTGCAGGGTTGGGCTGGGTGGGCTGAGGCCCCCCCTGACCCCCCCCCAGGGTTACTTGTCATTGTGTCCCCCCCCCCGAGACTTATGTGACCCCCCCCCCCCCGAGGGTTATGTGCCCCTCAGCCCCCCCCCAGGGGCTGATGTGACCCCCCCCCCCCGAGGGTTATGTGCCCCCCAGCCCCCCCCCAGGGGCTGATGTGACCCCCCCCCAGGGTTATGTGCCCCCCCCAGTGTGTTCATGCTGTGTGCCCCCCCCAGCAACGTCTGCCTCTGCTGACCCCACTCTTATGTGGGGGGGGGGGCACAGTGCCCCTATGTGAAGTATTGCCCCCCCCCCAGTCTGTGTATTGCTCCCCCCCCGGGGGGGGGCCCTGCCTTGTGCACACCCAGGGGGACCCCAGTTTCCCCCGCAGTGCTGGGGGGGGGGGGGGGGCTGGGGGGGGGCTCAGGCCTGCACGGTGCCAACCCTGGGGGGGGGGGGGGGCACACTCCTCCCTTCCCACTGCCCCCCCCGTGCTTTGGGGGGGGGCTCAGATGTACGGGGGCTGCGGGATGGGGCCACAGCAAAACCCAAAGCCTGTTGGGGGGGGGGGGGGGGGGCAGATTTGGGGGGATTTTCCCCCCCCCTCCCCCCCCACAAAGCAGAGGGGGGGGCATTAAGTGGCCGTTGTACCCCCCTTTGGGCATCTCAGCCCCTTGCTTGCAGCTCTGGCATTGTGACCAGTGACCCCCCCACCCCATTATTATGACGTGTGTGGGGCGGGGGGGGCACAGGGGGCTCCCCCCACACTTTTTCCTTCTCCCCGTTGCCCGAGCGTAGGTGCCAAAAGCAGGGAAACCCCCCCCATTGCTTGAAGGGGGGGGGCGGAAATCCCACAAGGATACCCCTGGGCTATATTTGGGGTGGCTTTGGGTCACCCTTGGGGGGTCCGGCTCAGGCTTGGGGGGTCTGGAGGTTTAAGGACCCCCCCGAGCCCCCCCGGTGTGGCCATGTCGCAGCTCCTGGCGCGCATTGAGCGCATGGAAAGGCGAGTGCAGCTGGTGAAGAAGGACACGGAGCGGGAGAAGCAGCGAATCTTCCAGGCCTTCGAGGCCGAGGAGAAGACCGAAGCGGAGGGGGGGTGCGACAAACTCCCCCCCGAGTGCCCCCAGGAACTGCTGGAACCCTCGCAGACCCTACAGCCCAAACACTTCCCCTACGGCAGGAACGGGAAAGGGCACAAAAGGTAACGGGGTGGGGGGTCTGGGGGGATTTGGGGGGCTCCAACACGGCGGCGTCCTTCCTTTTTTCCCCCTGGGGAGGGAGGGGGGGGTGATCCTCAATGTGTCCATGGGGGATTTGTGGGGTTTTTGGGGTGTGGGTGCAGCCCTCCAGGGAAGGGTAGGGAGCGCTCAGCACCCCATGGGGCTGTCCCCAATGTCCCACGGGTGTCCCACACCCACCCCTGCTTGGGCCACGTCCTGCCCCAAAGCTCAGGGGAGGGAGGGAAACGATCCCAAATTGTTTAGGGGGGGTCTCTCGGGGTCACCCAGCCTGGTGGTGGTCGCGGATTTCCCTTTCCCCTTCTCCATCCAGGCTGGGTCCCGTGGTGTTTGTGGGGCTGCTTCTGATGAAAACCCCACTGGTGTGGGCAAACTTAAAAACCAAGCGATGCTGACACCCCCCAAGAGAGGGGAAAAAACCCCAAAAGCTTCATCGGGGCAGGGCTGGGAGCCCTGGTGTGCCGGGCACGGCTCTCGCAGCCCTCCAGACCCCCAAATCTCCCCTGGGGTGGGTGAAACTCCCCCGTTTTGGGGTTTTCTGCACGTGCAGAACCATTTAGGTTCCTCCCCTCTCAGCTCTCCTCCTTCCCTCCCGTAGGAAGCCGCCGTTCGGGAGCACGGAGAGGAAGACCCCCGTTAAAAAACTGGTGTCCGAGTTCTCCAAGGTGAAGAGTAAAACTCTGAAACACTCCCCGGGGAAGGAAGAATCGAGCGGTTCCCTATCCGAAACTGTTTGCAAACGGGAACTGAGGAGCCAAGAGACTCCGGAAAAAAACCGCTCCTTGCTGGAGACCCCGCTCAGACCCTCGGCCCCCCTGAAGGGTCCCGGCGGCCAGCCCAAGGAGAAGGGCTTCTTCAGCGAGCTCGAGGACCTGCCCTACCTTTCCACCACCGAAATGTACTTGTGCCGCTGGCACCAGCCCCCCCCATCACCGTTGCCGTTACGAGAGCCCTCCCCAAAGAAGGAGGAGACTGTAGCAAGTAAGCGATGGAGGGAGAGGAGGAGGAGGATGAGGATGAGGAGAGCCTGCCCGGTGCTGCTCCGGTGCCACCGGGGCGTTTTGGCACAGCCGGCAGCGAGAGGAGGGCTCAGGGCTCACCCACCCCCGTTTTGGGTGCCCTGTCCCAAAACCAAATCCCAAACGCGATGGGAGATGAAGCCGGTGGTGCCCGGACCCCCCCAAGCCCCTCCGGCTCGTGCTGTCCTTGGAGCCTTGCAGGGGGTTCTGGCCCTGCTTGGCCCCGTTCCCTTTCCACCCCCCTGCTTTCTTGAGCCCCCCCCCCGTGCCTGTTTTTTTAAGCCAAGCACGAAGCAGCTTCCCTCTCCCGGCTGGGAAACGCGCTCCTGGCTTCAGGTGGTGGCCGTGCCCTGCGGTGTTTGGGCAGAAAACCTTGTGCCACTTCTTCCAGGCCGCCTCTTCTTGGGTTTTTCCTCCAAACCCCATGGCACAGCTCCATTTTTTTGGGGTTTTTTGCTGCGCTCCAGCTGACGGCGACCACGCGCTGGCGAACGCCGGGTGGCAAAACCTCCCGGCACACGAGGAGCAGCCCCCGCCGCGTCTCCTCGTGGTGTTTCCTCAGCTTTCCTCGCACTCCTGGCTTCCAGCCCTCCTGGTGCTGGCCCGGAGCTTTTCGGTGCTCGGGGTTTAACCATGCTCTGCCCCGCAGCGGGGTCAGGGTCTGGGTTTGCGGCTCCCGACTCCTGGAGCTGCCTCTGCCCACGGGTTTTTGGCTCCTGGGCTGCCCGCAGCAGGCAGCGTGTTCTGAGATCAGCTCTGGGGGTGTCACCGGGGGGTTTCGGGAGCGGGTTGAGCTCCCGAAAACGGGGCCGGGACCTGGGAAGGAGCAGGCACGAGCCCGGGAGTGGGGTGGGTGGCGTGGAGCGGTGCCACGCGCCGGGTTAATGGCCAAACCTTCCCCCCCCTCCTGCAGTTCCATCTTGGAGGGACCATGTCGTGGAGCCCCTGCGAGACCCCAACCCCTCAGACGTCCTGGAGGTACGTCCGGCCCCGTGCCCTTTCCTCGGTGGGCTGAAATCCCAAAAAGGCCCCCCCAGGGCTGCCCCAGGAGGCCGGGTCTGGTCCCGAGGGAGGCCGGGAGGTGCCGGGAGGAGCCCTCCCCTCACCTCCCGTTGTGTCCCCAAACAGAACCTCGATGACAGCGTCTTTTCCAAGCGGCATGCGAAGCTGGAGCTGGATGAGAAACGGAGAAAAAGGTAGGAACCAAGGCGGTGCTGGTTCCTGGCAGCCCTGGGGGAACCAGGATGGGCGCTGCCGGGAACATTTTTGCAGGAAAAGAACCTAAAATCCCTTTCTGCTGCCCGTATCTCTCCTGGGGAGCCCGAGCAGGGTTTGTAGGGGTTCATGGCTCACCCTGACCCCGTCTCCTCGGTGCCTTCCAGGTGGGACATCCAGAGGATCAGGGAACAACGGATCCTCCAGCGCCTGCAGCTCCGAATGTACAAAAGGAAAGGAATTCAGGAGTCGGAGCCTGAAGTTACCTCATTTTTCCCTGAGCCGGATGACGGTGAGTGCCTGGCGGTGCCAGTATGGGGTGTGGGGGCCGGTGGGGGGACGACTCCCCCTGCCCACCCCATCCCATCCCATCCCCGTGACGCCCGGTGTCTCTCCCACAGTGGAAAGTTTGCTGATCACCCCCTACCTGCCCGTCGTCGCCTTCGGCCGCCCCTTACCCAAATTAACCCCACAGTGAGTACCAGAGGGGCTGCGGGAGCCTTTTTTTGGGATGGTGCCGGTGCCGTGGGGTCCTCGTTACCCCCGTTAGGTGCTCGGTGCCACCTCGGGGTGCTCAGGGCCACCTCTGCCCGCAGGAATTTCGAGCTGCCCTGGCTGGACGAGCGCAGCCGCTGCCGGCTGGAGGTGCAGAAGAAGCAGACCCCGCACCGGACCTGCAGGAAGTAGCGGCGGAGCCGGGAGCTCCGCGCCTTTTTTTGGGGGGGGGGCTCCTTGGCCCTCCTCTTGGTTCTCGTTCACGGATCGTTGTTTTTTATTTTTATTTTTGTTGTTCCATCCACGCCCTGGTTTTGTTCTCCGGGGTTTTTCACGTTCCACACGCGGTGGCCGCTCTGAGCTGGGCTTTTTGCCCTCTTCTCCTCCCTCCTCCGCAGCCCAAACTTTTTGGGCAGCCACGAGCAGGGCCCAGACCCTGTGGTAGCGCTCACCCCACGGGGGGGGAGAAGCCCCAAAATTTTGGGGTTTGGCGGAGCTGCGGTGCCCTCCAAGCCTGTGCCCGCCTTGTTCTTGTTGGGTTTTAGGTAGAAATCGGCGTTTTTTGGGGGCGGGAGCAGCCCCCGGCGGCCGTCGCCGCTTTTTATTTTCCCCTGTTGGGCGGCTGTAGCGGGGTTGGGGGGTGGAGTTTAAAGAAAAAAACATAAAAACCCCTTTTTTTGTGAAATAGAAATCCTATACGCACAACTTTGGTTCTTTTTTTTTGTTTATTTTTTTATTTAAGCGTTTGTGAGGCCAACCCCCAGCGGGGGTCACCAGGACGGGGTTGGGGCCTTGGGGTCCTGGCTCCGACCCCCACCGCTGCCCCCCAGGGGGCCGGGGCCTGGCCCTTTGCCCCCCCCCCCCCCCCTTCTGTCCCCATGTCCCTTGGGGAAATGACCCCAAAACCAGCCCTTTTCACCCCAAATTGCGTCTCCGCCCCGCAGCCGCGTGCGAGCTCGCGTAAGGACACAGGACACTCGTTACCATGTTGGTTGGGTTTTGGTTTTATTTTTTAAAAAGGAAAAAGAAGAAAAAAAAATAGGAAACGTGTTAAAAAAAACAAAAACAACAAAAAAAAAAAACAGCCGAGGGAGGGGGAGGCGGGGGAGCTCCGCCCCCCCTTCCTCCTCCTCCTTCTTTGGTTTTACTTTTTTTTTTTTCTCCTTTTTTTCAATAAAAGCGGAAAAAAACCGAGGGCTCCTCTCTGCCTCTACTTCCGCCATAACGCTTCCGCGATAATGACGCCATTTCCCTTTGTGGTGACGTCACTTCCGCGCGCGATGACGCAGCGAGCGGTGACGTCACGCGCCCAATCCCCAACCCTCTCCTGCCCCCTGCCGGGAGGGAGAAAGAAGAGGGGGGGCGGGAGGGGGCGGGGCCACGCACGCTACGCGCTGACGTCACGGCGCCGCGGGGGCCGCTGGGAGTTGTAGTCCGTCCCGTGGTGCCCTGCGGCTGCCCCAAGATGGCGGACCGGCGGCGGCAGCGCGCCTCGCAGGACAGCGAGGACGACTCGGACTCGGCCGCCTCCGACAGCGCCGATTCCGCCGCCAGCGCCGCTCGGTCCCGGTCCCGGTCCCGTTCCGGATCCGCTTCCCGTTCCCGTTCCCCTTCGGCCTCCCCGCGGCCTCCTCACCGCCAAGCCCGGGGAGCCGCCGGGGCCCTCAGCGCCGGGCCGCGGGGTCGAGGGGCCGAGAGCGCCGCTGGGGGGGCGGCCAAAAGCGAGCCGCAGTCTGAGTGTGTGAGTGGGGGGCACCGGGGGGGGCCGGGGGGGACTTGGGGGTACCGGGGAGGGGGGCCTGGCTATGGGTGAGGCGCCCCCGGGGGTCCCAGAGGGGATGGGGGGTCCTGGGGGGGTCCCCGGGGGGGTTGGGGGGGTCTGAGGAGGGTCTGGGGGGAACGGGGTGGGCGGGGGGGGGGGCTGGTTATGGGTGAGGTGCCCCCGGGGGTCCCGGAGGGGATGGGGGGGTCGGGGGGGGTCTGGTTCTGGGGTAAAGGCACCGGGGGGGGGCCCTGGGGGTTGTTGAGGGGGGGTCTGAGGAGGGTCTGAGGGAATCGGGGGGGTCTGGGGGGGTTGGGTGGTGCCGGGGGGGGGCGGGAGGGGCTGGTTCTGGGATAGGGATGCTGGGGGGGCTGGGAGGGGGTTGGGGGGGGGCTGGGGGGCATCAGGTGGTGCTGCTGGGGGGCGTTGGTCATGGCTAAGGCACCCCCGGGGGGGGACAGGGGAGGCTCTTTGGGGTCTGAGGGTATTGGGGAGGGGTCTAGGGGGGGTGTTGGGGGGGCTGGTTAGGGGCTGGGGGCACCCGGGTACATTGGCAGGGACAGGGGAGGGGGCCCAGGCGCCCCTGGGGGGTCGGGGGCAGCGGGGGAAGCCGGGCTGTGGCCCCCACTGAGGGCGGGGGGCACCCCCTGCACCCCGGGACCCCTCAGGGTCGGGGTCGCTGCTCCCTCGAGCCCCTTCCCTGCCTCATGGCCGGGCGTTGGGGCCGTTGGGGGGGCATTAGGGCCGTTAAAGGGGGGCGTTGGAAGCCTGCTGTGCCCCCCCAGCCCTTTGGGGGGGCTCCCCCCAGCCCCCCGCTGGGTGCCGCTCCTGGCATTTTGAGCTCCTCCCGGCTCCCAGCCCGTTTCTGCCCCTATTTTGTGTGTCCGGGGTTCTCTCCTTCCCCGCTGCCTGCTTTTATTTTGGGTTTTGGTTTCCTCACAGCTCCCGCGCTCTCCCCTGCTTTTTTCTCTCCAAACTTTCCCCTCTCCCTGGCTGTTTTTGGGGCACAGGGTTTCATTTCTGCCCCGTCTACCTGAGCTCGGTCCTGCCCGGCATCCGCTCGGGCTCCTTCTTTTTTTGTTTGTTTTTATTCCCAGGCTCCTGCTCTGAGCACTCCTCGCGTCCATCCCTGCGAGGTGCCGGGCGGGGAAACCTTTCCCATCCCTGTCCCTGTCCCTCTGTCCCCTTGGGACCCCCCCGGCAGCTGCCCCATTTCAGGCTCCTTTATTTAACCGCGCTCCCTCTGCGGAGCCCACTCTAGAAGCATCCTCAGGCAGGGCGCTGGGAGCCCTCAACCTGATTTTTTTTGTGTGTTTGGTTGTTAAAACTGAATTTCTGAGGGCAGCTGGGGCCGGGCCGTGCCGTGGCAGCGTTTGGGGTCACTGCACACCACGGGGTTCAGCCACCACCCCCCGCCCCCCCCACTAACACAACCTTTCTGTCCCTTTTTCTCCAGGAAAGCGAGGACGGCATCGAAGGAGATGGTGAGTAACCATTCCCTGCAGGTGCTCTCTGCGTGCACCGAGGTAAAAACGGGAGAAAACACCATTTCCAGTGACCCTGCAGTTGTCCTGAATCTCACCTCGTGACAGCACGCAAACGTTGGGCTGCAGGGACCCCGCTCCCCGGGCTCGCCCTCGCTTCCCCCCCAGCCCTGGAAGGAATTCCTTCGTGCTGGGGCAGCCCGGAGCGAAGCCGTGCCCGGGTTCTTGCCCTGACACCCGGCTCCTTTCTCTCCCTTGCAGCCGTGCTCTCGGATTACGAAAGCGCAGAGGACTCGGAGGTAAGAGGAGTCCCCGTCCTGCTGCGCCTCGTGTCCTTTCACCACAAAACCCGCTTCGTGCCCCTCTTTCTCTCCCACTGAGGCTTGGAGCCAGCCACGCTGTGGAAAAGGGGATTTTTTGGGTCTCATCCCCCTTTTTCCCAGCGCTTCTGTCCCGTGGGGCCGTTGCTTTGGCCGGCCCCGTGTGCCAAAATAACGCCCGGCTCCTCGGGCAGGCAGACAGCAGGATTAGCCGTGGCTGAGGAGGGCGTGGAAGGGGGCGTAGGAGGGTGGTTGCGTTGTAATTAGCTGAAATTAAACTCTAACTACTGGCTTGGCCGCGTCCCAAGCGGCAGCCCTGTTTTCTCTGCGAGGCCCCGGGGGGTAATTTGTGCACCCCGCGAGCTCCGGTCGCTCCGTGCTCACTTGGTGCTGAGAAAACTGCCCTCGTGTCTGCTGCGACCCGGGGCCTGAGCCAAGGAGGCAGCCCTGGCCCAAAAACCCTGAAGAAAAGGATTTCCTGAAGAAAACCCTGCTCTTGAGAGGGATTTTTTAGGGGTCTTTAAAAAGCTTCAAGTTTAAAAACCTGCAGCCCAAGGCAGGTGGAAGGGGAGCTCTGGGGGCTGCGCAGTGCCGAATCGACCGGCAGCTCCTCCTGCCCTATTTCCAGCGCCCCCCCAGGGCAGGGGCAGCTCCGTGCCCCCCTTTTCCAGCCCCCCCCCGAGCCTGGAAGCGGCGCCGAGGGCTCTGTGCTGCCAGGCAGAATCCTCCCGGCGCCGGGGGCGTGAGCAGCGGCCGTGTTGCATCACCGGCGTGCCGGGATGACTCCGCTCCTGCGCCTAAAAATAATGCCACTACCACGGCCCGGGCTTCCCCGGCGTAAACAAAGGCAGCAGTTGACGTGCAAACACGCCAAAGAGCCCAACAGAGCAGGCTTTTTTTTTTTTGTTAATCGCGCCGCCGAGCTATTTTTAGCCTCCAGCCTGCAGGGTGAAGCGAGGTCACGCTCCTGCCGCCGTGGCGCTCGCCGTGAGTCAGCGCCGGGGCTCCGGGGAGTTTTGGGAGCCCGGCGGTGCCCGGAGCATGGCTCTGGGTGTGGGAACAGAGGGACGCTTGCAGGAGCCCTTTATTTTCAGCCAGGCTGGGCTCTGTGGTGGCGTGAGGGAGCTGGCTGTGCTCTGGGAAGCTTGGCTCTTGGAGCTGGTGTCGTTTTGCTGGTTTTTCGTGGAATTGTAGGGTTGGGGAGGGCTTGGGGCGAGTCCTCTGCTGCGAAAGACAGAGCTCTAAAAGCGAGAAGAGGGATCTAGCTCCGGGTTTGGGATTTTTATGGGAAATGGGTGAGGGAGCTGCTGCTCAAGGTGCACATCCGAGTAAGCGGGGCTCTTTCAGGCAGAGGAGGAGGATTACAGCGAGGAAGAGAGCGCCAAAGTGGAATTGAAGCAGGAGAGCAACGATTCCTGTGAGTCCGCGGCGAAAGCAGAGAAAGGGGACGAGAAACCCGAGGCCAAAGGGGCTGTGACCGGCGAGAGGCAAAGCGGGGACGGGCAGGTGGGTGGCAGCCGCGCTCTCTCTGCTCCGGGGGGGGGGTTTCTCGTCGAGGGACTGCTGCAGTGTTAAGAGCTGCCTGGTTTTGACAGGAGAGCACCGAGCCCGTGGAGAATAAAGTTGGGAAAAAAGCCCCCAAGCACCTGGACGATGACGAGGACCGCAAGAACCCGGCTTACATCCCGCGGAAAGGGCTCTTCTTCGAGCACGACCTGCGAGGGCAGACGCAGGAGGAGGAGGTCAGGTACGTGAGGATCCCCCCCGGGGCTCCTGGCAGAGGGCGAGCGTCGCTCTCAAACCAGCACTTGGAGCTCCCCGAGCTCCCCTGCCGTGTCCTGCCAGGATTTCTCGAGTCTTTGTTGTGAAAAAGGAGGGAACTGGGCATAGAAAAAACAAACAAGGAAAGCTTCTTGCTAGCAAGCAGGGGCCCTGCTGCTGTGTGGAAGTGGTGGGTGGGAGGGAGCAGAGATGAATTTTCCTGCTCCAGAAGCGCTCGGTGTCTGTTCTCGGTGCTGGCTGAGGCTGCCACGGCTCCGTGGCTCTGCCCCAACCTCTGTCCCCTCCCCGTGGCACCGTTCAGGCCCAAGGGGCGGCAGCGGAAGCTGTGGAAGGACGAGGGTCGCTGGGAACACGACAAATTCCGGGAGGACGAGCAGGCCCCCAAAACCAGGCAGGAGCTGATCGCGCTCTACGGCTACGACATCAGGTCGGCTCACAACCCCGACGACATCAAACCCAGGAGGATGCGCAAACCCAGGTGGGCAGCGGGGGCAAACCTGAGCCCCCGAGGGACTCCTCAGCCCTCGTGGGGGGCCACCGGGCTGGTGCCCGGGAGGAGAAACTCATTTTGGCCCCAGGCTTTGACCTTTTGCTCTTGGGTGTTGGGGTTGCTGCATCTTGGAGAGGGCTTCCCCGGCGCCGCAGCCCCCCGAGGTTTGTTTGCAGCCCCTTTGTGGTATTTTTTTCCCCCCTCCCTAGGTTTGGGAGCCCTCCCCAGAGAGACCCCAACTGGTCCGGCGAGAGGCCGAGCAAGCCCCCGAGGCACCAGGGCGCCGACAGCACCACGGCTCCCCCACGCACCTTCACCAGCAGGAGCTCTGCGGGAACGGGGAGGATGCCCCCCCCCAGGAACTACCCGAGGATGGGGGGCTACAAAGAAACCCGGCCGGGCTACCGAGCCTCGGAGGGCAACGTGCCTCACCTCCCTCGGAACGGCGAGCAGACGAAGCAGGAGGCCGGCTACCGGGCAAAACGCGCCGAGCAGACCCCGCCGAGGGCCAAATCCCCGGAGCTGGAAGCAGCCCACGGCCATGGCAGCCCCGGGAAGGAGGAAATCACCCTGGAAAATCGCCCCCCCAGCACCGACGCCGCTCAGCCACCTCCGGACAGACCCGTCGAGAAGAAATCTTACTCCCGGGCGAGGAGGACCAGAGCCAAAGCTGGGGACGCGGGGAAGTCGGTGGATGAAGCCCCCGCTGCGGAAGGGCTGGCCCCCGTGGCCCCAAAACCTGCACAAGCCGAGGCGTCCCCCCTGCCGGCCAAAAACAGCAGCTGGGAGTCGCCGGTGGAATCCAGCATGGATGGACTGGAGCAGGAGCTGACCCAAATGAACCTCGCCGAGCAGAGCTGGGCTTCGGGGCAGTCGCAGTTCATCCAGCCCCGGGAGCTGAGGGGTAAGTGGGTGTCACCTCGGGGGTGTCACCTCGGGGGTGCCACCTCGCCAAGTCCCTGCTGCAGCCCCCCCGTCGCTGTCCGAGCCGAGCTGTGGCGGTCCAGCCTTGGCTTCGGGGGTGGTGGAGATTCAGAGGGTGGAGAAAACGCAGCAGAATGGTTGGGGTGGACGAAACACAGCAAAAAAAGGGAGAAATTCAACATTTCGGTGTAGGTAAACCGAGTGTGGGTGTCAGAGCAGATCCTTTCCCCCTCCCTGCCCCTCTTCGTGCTGAGGACGGGGAAGGTTCATGCAGGTGAAGGCCTCTGGGGATGGGCAGCAGGAACTTTGCACGGGGTGAGTCACGGGGAGGCGTGCTGCCACGGCAGCTCAGCAGATAAGGAGAGCTGGGCCCCGCTCCCGGGAGCTCAATTATTCCTTGTCCTCACCCCGATGGCCTTTCTGCTCGGGGCAGGGGGAGTTTTCCCGTGGTTATCAGCCCGAGTACTCGCTGGGCTCGGAGCTGGCTTCCTCGCATCGTGGTTTGGGTGCAGATGAATTCATGCAGGGCAGGTCGGGGTCGGGAAGCGGGGCAGAGCCACAGCTGCGGGGCTGCCTTCTAGCTGAGCATCCCCGCCAGAGGTCGTCGGGGTGTAATTATCTCTGCGCAGAGCTGAAGTCTGTGCTGGGGAGAAGTCAGAGCCCTTCCCGAGGGGGAAGAAAACTGGAGCAAGGAGAAGGAAGGCTGCCTGCTTTCATAAGCCCTCTCTGGAGGGTTGGCTTTGGGAAACCAGGAGCCTCCTCGCGCTGCTGCGCTGGGTGAAAGCTTGGTGTGAGCAGAGCCTCGCTCGTGGTCACAGGCGAGAGCGGGCAGGGTTTGAACACAGCAGCAGAGGGTTCAAAACCGTGGTGATTCACGGGGTTTATACAGGCCCTGAGATTATACAGGGCTTGGGTTTGATGCTTAAAAAGAAAGAATCTGAACAATTTCACCAGGGGGCAGGCAGAGGCCGGTGGAGCCCCAGACCTGGGGCCGTCTGCTCCTGGTGGGCAGGAGGAGGTGTTTGTCACCCTGCTGTCCCCTCGCAGGGGAGGTGGGAGTGGATTTGGGGAGGTGTTTGGCTCCTTGAGCCGGCCGTTGGGTTCTTGTGGTTGGGTTCCACTCCCCTGGGGGTGCCCACAACCAGCCTGAGGCCGTGGCATTGTGCGTGCACCGTAAATCTGCTGTGGGAACTGAAAGAGCACGTGATAAAAGAGATCGGACCCTGTGGAGGGCTTGAAGTGTTTTTGGTGCCCCGTTTGGGTTCATGTTTCTGCTCAGAATTGATCCTCGTTCGGCAGGAGCAGCTCAGGTCAGAGCCCAGGCTCCAAGCTCAGGAGTTTTTTGGGAAGATTGAAGGCGTCGAGCAGCAGGGGGGGAATCGTGCAGTGACACAGCAGCTCCCGATTTGTGCTGAACCACCGAAAATTGCAAAGAGATGAAAGTTGGTGTGGGGTTGGTGTGGGGTTTTCCATCGTGCAGGCGGAGCTGCGTCTCCGTGCCGCGCGGCGACGGCCAGGTTGACGAAACGCAGCCCAAAGCACCCCATAATAACCAGCTGTTTGTTTGTTTTTTTTTTCCCCCGCAGGCATTCCTAACCATATGCACGTGGGAACGGGGCCGCCGCCTCAGTTTAACAGGATGGAGGAAATGGTGAGGCTGTGGAGGAAACGGGACCCCAGCCTGGGGAAGCGGGGAAGCCGAGCGCTCCTGGGGATCTGGGCTGCAAAAAACAGAGCCCATCCGGGGCTCCTCGCCCTTTCCCTTTTACCTCTGCTCACTTTTAGCTGCGTGACCCCGTGAGGAGGGCAGGGGCTGTGGGAATGGGGTCGGTGCAGCCCCGTGGGGGGGTTTCCTTCCCCCCACCCTGACCGTGCTGCTGCCTTTGGCTCTTGCAGGCGGTGCAGGGCGGCCGCGTCAAGCGCTACTCGTCGCAGCGGCAGAGAGCGCCGGTGCCAGAGCCTGCCCCCCCCATGCACATCAGCATCATGGAAGGGCACTACTACGACCCACGTGAGTGTTCCCCTCGCGCTCTGCACGCTCAGAAAGCAGCAGCTGGGGCAGGAGGCCCTGCTCCCTCAGCGCTGCCCCGTTGGGCAGAGCAGGGGCTTGGTTTTCTCTTTGTAAATAGCGTGACAACTTCGTCTCCTGCAGTAACTAAAAAAAAAAAGAGCAGGGGTTTTGTCTTCCCTTTGCAAACAGCATCACTGCTTCGCCTCCTGCAATAATTAAAAAAAAAAGAGCAGGGGTTTTGTCTTCCCTTCGGAAATAGTGTCACTGCTTCGCCTCCTGCGGTAACCAAAAGGCTGCTCCGAGCCTCCCCGTGCTGTGCCCAAACCCAGGGAAGCTGTCGCTGCCTTCCCGCCCCGTGCAAGGGCTCTCTAGGACACTGCCGTGCTCCGCGAGAGCCAGGAGCTAAAATTAATTTGAAACCAGAGCAGGGTTTCTGCTGGGGAGCGGCAGGGAGGATTACGGAACAGGAGCAAGGATGGGTTTGGAATTTACTCCGCCGTTTGGAGGAGAAATTCCCCCAGCGTTGTGCTGCTTTGTGGAGGGAACGGGAAGCTCCTGGGCTGGCAGCACGTCGCATCTGCGAGCCTGGTAGGCTGCGTGTGCTGTTCCTGGGGGGGAGTGGAGCTCGCAGCACTGCATTCGAGCGTTTTGGAGCTGTCGATGGCTTGGATCCGCAGCGCGATCTGCTGCAGTGGAATAAAACCTGCTGGAGCTTTTTGCTTAGGCGCCTCTCTTGTCTTGCAGTACAATTCCAGGGACCAATCTACACCCACAGCGAGAACCCGGCCCCGCTGCCGCCCCAGGGGATGATTGTGCAGCCAGAAATGCATCTCCCTCATCCAGGTGAGGATCCTGCTCCTGGCAGGGTGCGGGGCAGCTGCTGCTCCTGCTGCTCCTCACACCGACCTTGCTGCTGTGCCCGTGCTGGGGCGCAGCTGAACCTTCTTCATGCAGCCCCGGGCACTGGGGGAATCCAAATTCCCTCTTTTACGACACGGGAGCGAGCTCGTGCAGTGAGGCCGAGGCAGTGCCCATCTCTGGGGAGAATAAAGAGGGGTTTTTGGCCCTCGCAGGCGGTGCAGGGCTGAGATCCCCCGTGCGTTTTGGCAGCCCCCCCTGGATGGCTGCAGGCTGTGTGCACGCAGCCTCCTGGCCCGGTCTCCTCCTCGCCAGCGGGGTGCGTGGCTGTGCCAGCTGCCGGGCCAGGCTGGCTCCTCGCTCCCTGCTGCTTGTGGATTAGAAGAAAAAAGCAGAACGGGGGGGGGGGGGAGCTGTCGGGGTGGGGAGTTGCCCATTTTTGCCTGCGGAACCGTTTCCTGCCGTGGATGTGCTTCGTGGTGGGGCCGCGTCCGCTTCCTGCGAGCCGGGAGCGGGGAGGAGGCGGCTGGGCTGGGTGCTGGGGGGCAGCTTCCCTTTTCCCTCCCCAGCTCAGGAGCCCGAGGTTGGAGGCTGTGAGGCTGCAGGAAGAGCCTCCGAGCACAGCGCTTCCCCTCCCCGCTTGCAGCACGGCCGGCGCAGCCCTGCTGCCCTCCGCTGGCCTCCTGGCAGCCCCAACCCTCGTCACCACATACTGGCTTCATTCAAATCACCACGTTTCGCTTATTTTTGTGCCCCCCCCCCAGGTTTACACCCCCACCAGACACCAGCCCCGATGGCAAACCCCGGCCTTTACCCTCCGCCGGTCTCCATGCCTCCGGGCCAGCCCCCGCCGCAGCAGCTGCTTGCACCGACTTACTTCTCCCCGCCTGGAGTCATGAATTTTGGGAACCCCGGCTACCCCTACCCCCCGGGAGCGCTGCCCCCGCCGCCCCCTCCTCACCTTTATTCCAACACGCAGGTAAGCTGGCTGTGCCATGTCCTCCCCGAGCAGCAGCAGCACACCAGGCGGGATGCTGCACTGCCTGGGGATGTTCTGAGCCCACCCGGGAGAGATTTGGGGTCTGAATTATGAAATTGGGTGATTTTAGAACCAAGATCTTCCCCTTCACAACGGGGAACCAGCCCACGGGCAGGAGGTGGACTGTTATTTTCCCTCCTGGTCCCTGCTGAGCCAAGGACACCTTGAGAATTGCTCTGCCCTCCCTTTCTGGTTGAGGCAGGAGCTGGAAGCTGCCCGGTGCTGTGCTTTGGTGCTGAGCAGGACAACCCCGGGCGTGAGCACCCCACATTTGACAGCTTCCAACCTCTGCCTCCACACGAGGAGAGAAGAGGGCACCCTGTGAGGAGGCGAGGTGGCCGTGGGGGAGCGGCACACGGCTGACACGCAGTGGCGAGCGGGAGACGTGCACGCTCCTCCAGCCCAGCTCCCTTCCTGACCTCCCCTGGCCCCACTCACGCAGGGAATCAGCCCGCTTTTGGGGCACATCCCAAGCCCTCATGGGCTGGAGGAGATCTCGGTGGTGGCGGTGGTGGTGGTGGAGTTATTCCCTGCCCGCTCCGCACACAAACACCAAAGCGCAAAGCTCTGCGGGGCGATGGAAGCCCGCCTGCCACGAGCTCAGCCCGCTGCAGCCCCAAACCTCCCCGTGCTCAGCACCGCGTCCTCCCAGCCCCCCCGTGTGCTGCGGTGGCCTTGGTGCCCTCGCAGGGGGTGAGGAGCATCGTGCCTGCCCCCCCCCAGCTCGCTGATCCCCCTCTCTGGGCACACAGGCGCAGTCCCAGGTGTACGGCGGGGTCACGTACTACAACACTGTCCAGCAGCAAGTGCAGCCCAAGCCTTCCCCGCCACGAAGGACGTCGCAGCCCGTCACCATCAAGCCGCCGCCTCCCGAGGTACCGTCCCCTCCGCCTGTCCCCTCGGCCTGAGTCCACGCGGGGCTGTCCCCTCGGGGTGTGTGCGGTGCTGCAGGCTCCCTCGCCCATCCAAAAAAAAAAAACACAAAAAGAAAACAAAAAAAAATCTGTTGTTTCCAAGGAAATCGTAAACTGTCTTAATTTCTGATGTGTCCCAAACCTCAGCTTCTCGTTGCAGGTGGTAAGCAGGGCTCCAGTTAATTTCTAAATACTTTAAATCTAAACCCACGTAAAAAGTAAGTCCGAAGTTGACTCTCGTTTCCTTTTTCTTTTTGGTGAGGGTAGGAAATAAAAACACTTGACTAGGGATTAAAATCCAGTCGTAAGCCAGGAGGCAGCGGCTCCTCTGGAAGGAGGAATGCCCGGTGGTGCCTCGCCGGGCAGGCTTGGGGTTGGACCTGATGATCTCTTGAGGTCCCTTCCAACCCCTAAAATTCTGTGATTCTGGGATTTCCTCCTGGCAGCGCCGCCACCCGTGCGCGTGTGCGAGTGCCACGTGTGCAAGCGCCACGTGTGTGTTTGGTTTCCTCTTCCACGCCTCACCAAACACTCGGGAGTGAGCCTGAGTCACGGCGAGGCCAGGCCCGGGCAGGCGTGCGCCGGGTGCCGGTGGCTGCTCCGTCCCTCGGCCGCCTCTGAGCAGGGCGGAGCCGCTTCGCCCCTTTTTTTTTTGTTGTTTTCCCACCTGGGAGCAGCAGCTCTCGTAAATCCGCCCTGAGCTCATCCCGGCAAGGTGCCCTTTGAAAGGCCTTGAGGTGGAAGGAGGGCTCCACCCCGAGCACGAAGGCTGAAGGCAGCCGGATTCCCCAGAGCAGGCGTGGGGTGGGAGGGTGACGGTGGCTTTCTGGCACCCATTTTCAGAGGGTGCTTGCTGACAGCACCCCCCCGGCGTTGTGTGGAGCTGGGGGGCAGCCTGACCCCCTCCTGCTGCCTCTCTGCTTCCCCAGCAGGACAGCAAAAGTGAAAAATCAAAGGAGAGGAGCACCACGTAGGGAGGCGGCCGCGGAAATCCCAGCGCCGGACCTGGCACCTCGGCGAGGAGGCAGCTCCGTCCCGCAGGAGGCTCCTTCCCCGTGCGGAGGTTCGGCGGCGCGATGAAATCGGCCGCGCCGTCTGCTGCTCAGGGCCGCCAGGCACCTTCCCTCCCCGGTTTTTACCGGTGCCCTCCCGAAATCCATCTCTCACCGCTGCTCGTCGGCCCCTCCTTTCCCCCCCCCCCTTCCCTGGGGGCACCGAGGTCACCGCCGTGCCAGCCGCCGGTCTCGCGACTTCTCTCTTTTAGTAACCGTCTGCCCTTTGCCCCTTTTTTTCAAGATGTTCAACTCAACTGCTTGGTTGTGGTCTCTGTTTTTATTTAAGAAATGAACCGGCTCCCGCAGTAAAGCTGCTTTTTTTCTTTCTTTTGGGTATCCGACTCGGTCTGTCCGGCGAGCCCCAACCCGACGGCCCCCCAGACACCCCCGCGCCGACAGCTGAGAAGCAAATTCTTGGTTTAAATTCCCTCTTGAAATTAGCAGGTTTATTTCTGCCATTGTTTGAGAAGACGGAGGGCAGCTGGGTGTCAGGAACGCGCCGGCCACTTAATTTAGCAGCTCCTCCTGCTCTGCTTTTTCCAACCCAACCCTCTGGGGGGATCCGTGGCGGCTTCGGTCCCGTCAGGTGGGAACCCCCGAGCGAGCGCGGGGAGCTTTCGCCCAGCCCCCAGAGCTCTGGGAAGTCGCTGGGGGGAGGATTTTGGGCGCCGAGGCACCTCCAGGAGTGCCGGAGCAGCCCCGCCAGCAGCCAAACCAGCTCGGCAGGGCGGGCAGAGGAGCTGCTTCGCTCCCAGCGCTTGGGTGGTGCTGCTGGGGCAGCTCGGGCGCTGTTGCAACCCGCCCCGACGCACCCGGCGTGGGCTCAGCCCTGCTCCTGCCATCACCGGGGCTGCTGCTGCTGCCCCCCCCCCGGGACCCCCCCAGCATCCTTCCAAGGCTTCCATCTGCTGGGAGCAGCAGCTCCAGCTCCGCTCCTTCCCCCCCGCTGCAGCTTCCACGTCCCCACCTGCGGCGAGGGAGGGAGGGTCCCCCCTGCACCCACCTTCAGGGCTGGGACCCCCTGCACGCCCCCCTCCCCAGCAGAAATCACCTCTTTTGTTTGTAAGAACCCGTTTTGGGGAGAAACAGCTTGTTTTTCAGATTTTTTGCCCCCCCGTGCTGAGGCCTGGGGCAGCTCCTGCACCCCTCCCACCCCAGCACTCGTGCGGGGAGCCCCTCACCCATCTCCACCAGCAGGGCACCCTCGCCCCCCTCCCCACCCCAGCACCCTTGGGTGGCCCCCCCACATCCACCCCGGGCCCTTGGGTGCTGCAGGGGGGCTCCAGGAAGCCGGGGGGCTGCGGGGCCAGAGCATGGAGGCTTTGCAGGCAGGTGGGGGGGGACCTGGGTTCCCCCAAACTGGGGGAGCTGCTCGCTTTGGGGTCTTTTCCTTTTCCCCCCCCCCGTGCCACCAGCCCCCCGGCAGTGCCGCAGCTGGGAAGTGGGTTAGCGCTGGCTCGGGGAGGGTTTTTTGGTGTTTTTTTTTTCTTTTTTTCTCTCCCTGCGTGTAATTTTCCCTCCCACGCACCCGCGCTGAGCAGAGCCCGGAGCCTTCACGCCCCCCCCCTTCTCCAATCCCACCCCCCCCACCTCAGCTCGGCTGCTGGGTGAGGGGGGGGGAGCGCCCACTGCTCCAGATCCCGGCTCGTTAGGAGGAATAACAGCTAATTAATTAAGCTAATAGCCCCGCTCTGCGCCAGCGCTGCCCCCGGCCCCCCCCGAACCATTGTGGGGGGGGGCGCGGATCGGGGCCGGGCACGGATCTGGGGCGCGTTCCCCGGGGTCCCCCCCCCTGCGCTCGTGCCTCAGTTTCCCCTCTTGGTGCTGCGGGGATCTGTGTGTCCCGGGGGGGGGGGGGCAGAAAGCACATGGGGGGGGTCCCTAGCACCGGGGACCGAGGTTTGTGTGTGTTGGGGGGGGGCGCAGCGCCCACGGCCACGCGTGGGAGCGGGCGCGCATCCCGCAGCCCCCCCCCGCGCCGCGGCCGGGAGTTGCCAAGCAACTGCGGGATGGAGGCGAAACGGGAACAAAGCCGCAGCCGGGGCCCCCCCCGGGTTTTTTTTGTGTGTCCCCCCCCCCCACGGGAACCGAGCGGGGCGCTCCCCAGCCGGCCCTGCCCGCCGCCTGCCCCAGCTTGTCGGCCCGGCGCCGTGGGGGGGTGGGGGGGGCAGCACCGCGACCCGCCCGGCCCTGCCCTGCCCTACCCACGGGGGGGGGGCGTGGGGATGGGGGGGGGTCTTTTGGGGAGGGGGGGGCGGAGAACCCCGCATCCCTCCCCCGTGGAGTGGGCGTAGGGGGGGGGTCCCGCATCCCCCCCCCCCCGCGGGTTTTTCCCACGGTGGGTTGGGGGTTGGGGGGTGTGGGCGTGGGGGGGGCACGGGGGCGGCTCGGCGGGGCCGGATTTAGGCTGGGGGGGCGGCGTTAAAGAGCGGGGGTGGGGGCTGCGTAAAGAGGGGAGGGGGCTGCCACCGCCCCCCACGCGTGCCCAAGTCCCGTGGAGGCGGTGCGGGGGGGGGGGGGGGGCTGAGCCTTGAGGGGGGGTGGGTTGGGGGTACCGGGGTTTTGAGGAGGGGGGGGGGGGGGACGGCCCGGTAGGCCGGGGGGGGGGCGGGCAGGGGGCGGGGCGGGGGGGTGGTGGCTCGGCGGGGGCGCAGCGCGCAGCAGGCGCGGGGCAGGCGGAGCGCGGCGCCGGGGCCCGAGCCTTGATCGGAGCCCCCCCCCCCGCGCCCCCCCCCCTTCACCACCCATGGGCCCCTGACGACCCCCCCCCCCCCCCCTCCGGCCATGAAGCCGCTGGAGAAGTTGCTGAAGAAGCCGGGCTCGCACCTGCCCCCCCCGCCCCGCCCCGGTGCCCCCCCAGCCCCGCTCCCGGTGCCCCGGCGGCGGAGCCTCTCTCGCCCCCTCCCCTCCCCCGAAGACCCGGGGGGGCCACGACCGATTGAGGGGCGCTGCTTGGAGCTGCGGCCCCCCCCTCACCCCCTTCCTTACCCCGCGCCCCCCCCCCCTCCCCGAGGCTCCTCCGCGTTCCCCTTCGGCGCTGTCCCCCTCCGAGCTTTCCCCCGGGGGGGGGGACCGGGACCGGGACCGGGAGCCGCTGCCCAGCCCGGAGCCGCCGCCCCCCCCCGCTGCCGCCCGCTGCTGCTGCTGTTGCCCCCCCGCCGCCCCCGCGCCCCCCGAGCGCCTCCTGACCGCGCTCCTGGAGCGGCTGCCGGCGGGGGGGGCGCACGGCCGGGGCTGCGGAGCAGGTACCCGAAAGGGGGGGGGTGGATTTTTTTTTAAGGGGGGGGCTCTGCGGGGTTGGGGAGGGGGCTAGGGGATCCCGGGGGGTGCGGGGATTGAGGTGCGGGGGGGGCCAGGGGGATGCTGCGGGTGGAGAGGGGGTGGCACCGGGTAGGAGCGCTTTGGGGGGGGGCTGTAAAAATTGGGGGGGGGTCAAGGTCAGGGTGAGGCCTGGCGGGATACGGGGCTGGGGGGGGGTGTGTGGGGTGCTGGGGGGGTCCTCGGGTATCCTGAGGGGGTCCGGGGGGGGGTCTCTACGTGGTGTCCTGCGGGGGGGGGCAGCGGGCACCGACTGCGGTGGCGCGGAGCTGCCGGCGGCCTCCCGGTTAATGGTTAACGCTGTCCCGGCGCTGAAATTAACCCGGGGGGGGGCTGCAGAGGGGGTGCCCCCCCTTGTCCCCCCCCTTCCCACCGCCTGCTGCGGTTCCCCGAGGTGCTGGAGGTTTTTTTTTGGGGGGGTGGGAGGCAGGTGGGCTGCGAGCGCGCCCCCCTCTGCAGCCCCCCCTGCTTTGGCCACCCTATTTTGGGGGCTGCTGATGGGGGGGGGGGGGAAAAGGTGGGAGCCCCCCCCCCACACCCCCCGGTCGTGGCTGGGCTCCAGGGAAGGTGCCGGGGGCCGGGGTGGGGCTCACCGAAACGAGGGAGCCCTTGGGGGGGGGAACGAGCCGGGACTGGCAGCGCTGGCTCTGCCTGCACCAACACGCTGCCAGGCCCGGCCCTGCGGGGTGTGGGGAGCACGGGGGGGGGCCCCGAGGTGTGGGGAACGTGGGGGGGCCCCCCCAGGCCGGTGGGGGTCCGGGATACCCAGCGGTGGGTAGGGGAGCGCCGGCCCTTCACCTGCTGGGGGGGTGCGGAGGGATGGGGAAACTGAGGCAGGGCTGGGGGGGGGGGCGGCACCCTGCGGGGCAGGTGTCTGGGGGGGTGTCTGGGGGGGTGTCTGGGACCCCCCCCCTGCCGCTGGCTGCTCTGCGCATCCCACGGGGTCCCAGCGCTGCCCCACGTATGGGAGGGCCCCCGGGGGTCCGGGTTCATGGAGGAGCTGCAGCCCCTCGGGGTGGGGGCGTTTGGGCACCTCCTGCCCCCAAATACAGCCTGGGGGGGGGTGTGGGGGGGGGCTGTGCACCTGCCCTCCCCCCCCCCCCCACCTTACGCTGCCCACCCCAGGCCCTGCTGCAGGTGCAGGATGCGGGGTCCCAGCCCCGGTTCACGAGCAGGGGACCGGGGGGGTGGGGAGCACCCTAGGGTGGGTGTGGGGGGGTCACCGGGGCCCTGCTCCCACCCCAGGCCAAGGGTTGGCGCTGGGGCCGCCCACGTGGGGCAGGGCGAGGAAGCGGCGCCGTGGCCAAAGGTCGAGGTGGTGGCGGGGTGGCCGGGGCCAGCGGGGTCCCCTCTGTCCCCGGTGGTCCCATGGGCGCCCCGTGCCAAAACCCCCTCCCCGGGGCCACCCGTGGCCCCCCCGGCACCGTCGCTGTGCCCCCTGCCTCAGTTTCCCCGTGTGCCTTGTCCCCGAGGGGCTGGGAGCGGGGCCCCCATCAGCCTCGGTCCCCTCGCCGGGTGTAGGGTTTTTTTTTGGGGGGGGGGGTGCCCGCCCCTGACCCCCTCCCCGTGTCCCCCAGACTCGCTGCTGGATGACATCGTGCTCACGCACTCGCTCTTCCTACCCACCGAGCGCTTCCTGCAGCAGCTGCACCAGCAATATCCTTGGGG